GCCCTCAGGCCCTCGTCGAGCCTGCCTTCACTTAGGGTGGCCGACGTATCGCATGACAAGGCCAAAAAGGGGCTCATCGGGGCCTTGGCCTCGCACAAATGTCAAGAGACAGTATGAGAGGTTATGGGCTCAGCCCAACATCCAAAACCGTCAACGAATTACTTAACTAAGCCCACAACCAAATCAGAAACGGAAACGTTTCTTTTCTGATCAGGCTCACAACAGAGCTTTCCCACAACCGTCAGCATTCCACAGCAACGGAGAGAGAGACTGGATTTATGCAATCAGAAAAAAACATACTTGCAACCGCACGAGCCGCACATTCGTGCGGAGTTCCGTGCGGGGGGTGCCTGTGCGGAATCGTGCAGGTTTTTTATTTTTATTATTATTATTTATTTATTTATTTGGGAGGGTGGAGGGGGGGGTGTATGACAGGAAGATGGGGATATAACGAGAGGAAGGGGATATGGAGAGGAGGAGGAGGACGAGGAGGATAGCGAGGACGAGGAGGATAGCGAGGACGAGAAGTAGAGATGGGGGAGGAGAAGAGATGGACGGAGGGAAAAGAGGAAGGGCAGGAGGAGGAGGACGAGTGGGAGGAGGAGGAGACATGGACGGCGAGGAAGGGGAGGACTCGAGGAAGGGGAGGACACGAGGAAGGGAAGGAGACGAGGAGGCATGGAAGATGAGGAAGTGTGAGGAGGAGACAAGGAGGATGAGGAAGGGCAGGACGAGGACGAACAGGAGGAGGAGGACGAATCGGAGAAGATGAAAAGAAGGGAGGAGGAGACATGGAGGATGAGGAAGGGGAGGAGGAGTGAGGTGAGGCAGCACCCCTGCAAACTTTTTTTTCATCCCAATTATAATTTTGGCAGGGGCCCTCAAATGAACCGTTTCGACCCCCAGCCTTCCTTTTTTTTTCTCGGGGGGGGGGTGACGGGTCGTTCCCCGCACACGTCGTGCGCCGCACGGGATCGGTTGGGCGCGTGCGCCGCACGTTGGGAACCGCCCGCACGGGAAAAAAATAAAAATAAAAATGCCGGAGCCGATTTCAATTACTACAAACGCAGACTACCATAATAATTCCCGTTCTAATCAAAGTGGAATATGCTATTTCACTGACACTCTGACCTCTTGTACAGAAAGAAGCCATCCTTACTAACTGACGATTTTCTGACTGCTAACAATGTTTGCCAACTAACAGGATTGACCGACAGACCGACAGTTCTGAAAAGAACAGACAATTTCGGTTGACGCACGCTGAACCAGGTAGGCAATCAAATTAGATCAGGGTCATTAAGATGCAATTCGATTTTTTTAATTTTTTTTTTAATTACAATAGATTCAGAGAGGTCAGAAACAGGAACACGATGACTGGCACCCTATCTGACCCAGGCTGTACATGGGCTGACAACTGACAGACTTTGACAGGGTCGGACGAGAGGTCAGGAGATCCACGGAACGAACTCACTTGAGCAAGGCTTGATTGAAGATATCTGCCCGGTCAATCATTGACCTCCAATCTGCAGCAAAATGTTTTAGAACCATGCGGACGCTGACGCCAGACCTGCAGCAAAGATTCCCACAGTTTTCCAATCAAGTAACTCCTCGAAGTAACTGTGGCAGCGGCCCAGATGGTCGAACACACTGTAAACAGGCAAGGGCCGCAAGGCCTGTAACTTGAAGGTCGCAAGGCCCTCAGGTCAACCAGACCATTTAGGGCTGACGCAGCGGTCAACTCTGCTCTTGCCAGCTGAAACTTCGAGTGAACGTTCCAACACTCCATATCTTTTTTTTTTTTTTTGATAGCAGTCATTCTCCCCGCGCACACTACCTTCCACCACCTCTCACCAACGACATCCGTTGAAGAAAGTGGACAACAAGTCCCTACTCCAACCGCCGCACGAAGAAGGTTGCCACTCAACTGCTCGCTGTTATGTACCCGATTGAACTTCAATCCACAATGAATTCACACGTCCCCATAAACGCATGCAATTGCGGAGTAGACTCGGAAAGAAAATCCACACAAAACCGGAAAGAAAATATGCGCATCGGAAGCTCAAAATACACAGAGAATTGAAAAACAAATTTCAATTCTGCAATCCCTCGTCCTCTTCCAATCAATCCAGAGTACTTGATCCAAGAATCACAACTGCGTTTACAACAACCCTGAGCAACCAAAAACAAATGTTCAACGAAGTATGCAGGAGTCTTCTTCCTCCTCCTTGCCACCTCATACCCCTGGCTATGGCTGCCGTAGCAGCAGTAACCCCACAGCTGTCACAACGTGCCAATCTGAACCAGCAACCCCAATGATAGCAGCGCCAGCTCAATGCCCGCACGGAAGTGCAGCGCTGGATGTCCTAATGAAGAAGGAGACAACCGATCCAGCACTTTGAAGAAGTTGAAGTTCCTCCTGAGGAGGAACAGCAGATATGACTGCCAAGTGGAAATGGCAGCACCCAAACCCAACAACACAGTCCTGTGGAAGCTCTCATGCAGAGCTGCGAAAGAGCAGCAGTGCGATCTTCATCTTCATTTCCCAACCCCAGCTATGGATGAGCTTCGAGGAAGAAGATGACCCAAAATAGAGCAGCAGCGCTCCAACAAGAGACGGGCAGAGTTTCCCCAGCCAACGAAAACGTGAAAAGACCTGAACCAGATTTCCTGCCCGCTACTTCTACCCTCTGCCTAGACCTACTAGGGATTCCAAAGGCAACAACCCAAGACTCATCTGTATCTAGATGGAAACAGGGGGAAAAGGGGACCTAGACGAGGCAAAAGGGATGAAGTCCCGCAAAGGGGACCTAGAACAGTGGGAAAAGGGGACCTAGACCTAAGGCTACCAAAAAGAGACTACAAGTGACAGACTTAGGGATCAAGTCCCATAGGGCGCAGCACTTACAAACAAAACACATGGGTTACAGGTCATGAGATGAAGTCCCGCAAGGCTTAAAACAAGAAAACAAACTACAAAGCCAAACACTTAGTGTACAGCCCCGCTAGGTAACTGCGATTTATCGCAATTTGATGACAGAGGAAGCAGAGGGAGAGTCAACAGGATAGGGTAAAGCATGCAGGGTAAGCTGGCTGGCGTTGAGGAGGTTGTGGACGAGGAAGATGTTGAGGAGGGTCCTAAAGTGAAGGGGAGGAGGATGTAGGTTGAGGTCCCAATTTGAAGGGGATGGGGCAATCAGGATGTGAGGGTAAGGATGTACAAACCGTTGAAGTGGGCAGGGTAAAGAAGGCGTAGGCAAAGGGGAAGAATGCAGGTCGTGTAGGGCATCCAGACAGGCTGGGAAAGAAGAGAAGAGGATCTGAGATTGGAGAAGTGGAACAGGTAAGGGGAGGAGGGAGCAGGAGAATTACAAGGGCCTGGATCATAATAGGCATAGGGTAAATGTGCATATGCAGGTGATGGAAAGAGANAGGGGAGGAGGGAGCAGGAGAATTACAAGGGCCTGGATCATAATAGGCATAGGGTAAATGTGCATATGCAGGTGATGGAAAGAGAGCGATTAAGACAGAAAGAGCAACAGACAGAAGAAGAGAGAAAAACATGTCCGCAGGGGCCAAATTGAGTATTGGAGACTAGGATGTCAAAGAGAGATCCCAACGGAGGAGAGAAAGTCGTGAAGAAAGATGCGAAAAGAGAGGCGACAGACATAGGACAAGGAAAGAATACGATGGGGAAAAGTAGATTGGTGGTGGGAAGATTGGAAGGGGGGATGGGGCCGCAAGTTGAAAGTTGGAATCAAACAGGCAGAACGGAGACAATGGAGAAGGAAGAAAAGGAAAAAGGTTAGTGCCTAGGGAAGAATGATGTGTGTGTGTTTGTTTGTGTGAGGGCAGGGGAGACACACACACACACACACAGAAATGGGCAGCTGCCGCTCAACCACAATCAATGTGGGCAGAGGCACAGTAAACGGGGAGCTGCAAGAACAATGAAAGGGGTACCCCAAGGATAACCAAAAAACTGTCTAATTATAAAATTGCTTTAATATGTTGGACATCTCAAATGCTCCCGTTGTCTGCAATAGGACAAAGACTGCTTTGATTCTGAATCTATTCACGTGGGTGGAATTGGGGCTGTTGTGGGGAAAATCTAAAACACGCACACACACACACACACACTCACACACACACACACACACACACACACACACACACACACACACAGAGAGAGAGAGAGAGAGAGAGAGAGAGAGGGAGGGAGGGAGGGAGGGAGGGCATTTCATGATTGTTCATGAGCGGATGCACCCCCTAGAGAGAAAGAGAGGGATCCCAGTGGGATCCTGCGCGTCTTCTGTATCATGTACCTTCTTTTTCTGTGTGTGCTGTTATATTGTTGTCCCTTCACGTTTGGATCTCCTCCCGTCGCTCTATTGCTGTCATATCATTTTCCTTTTTTTCACAATTTCAATCTCAATTCTCCTGGTGGAGATGGTGCCGGGCCATTTGCATCTCCTCTTTCATATCTT